ATAATTTCATTTCAATATTAATATCATTTTGAAATGTTCAAAATTATTATTATTTAATTTCAAATATATAAAATCATTTTAAAAATGAATATCATTTGAAGTACCATTTTAAAAGTAAATATCATTTCATATATCATCTGAAAATATTCAAATTGATGAACAAAACTGGTAAAATTCATCTGGCGTGAAGCAATGAGGAAAGTGCAGTAAAATTACAAGAAGGATTTGGTCAAATTCATACTAAATGGCCGAGAGTATCATACGCGCAATTATGAAAATTACTAGAGGCAATTACATGTTCTCAAGTACATGTGCGACATTGTTTGTTCTCCGCACGCAACAATAAATAGATTGTCCGATTCACACTGTGCCCCGACCTACATGCAGTTCGTGAACTGCGCAACAACTATCGCGACCTACATGACCGCGTGAACGTATTAACGATCACTTGTTGCGAACGGAACTAATCTTTTTCCCCTCGAGGCGGGAAGACGTGGAAGAAAAGTCGAACGTGCTCGTAATACAGAGCATGAAACGAAACCTGTTCGAAAATTCATTTTCCCGCTCATCAGAGCGAAATTGTCGACTCGGTATTTGCAAGCTTTATTATGTTCGACTCTTATACACTTAAGTGCGGACCTTAACGAGATCTAGGAACTCGTTTGACTTTTATATACTGAAATGCGGACCTTAACGAGATCTAGGAACTCTCAACATCTTCGCTCGTTTTTTCTTCTTTTCTCTGTTTTCTTTCTTTTTTTTTTTTGCTGAATTAACGAATAGAAATTGAATCAAAGTTAGCTGGCTTATCATTGACAGATTGAAGAATAAAATAAATTTCTATCTCTTTGATTGCGTCGATGAAAATTTTTGTCCGCGGTCTGATTATTAGTCGAGCAGAAACAAAGTGTTCTAGCTAAAATAAAGTAGAGAAGGAAGACGAGTAGAATTACTGGAGACGATGAAGGAAAAAGGTTACATAAGAGTGACGCATCCTGTCGAGAAACGTGATTAATGAACAATTAGAGAGCGTGGTGTCAATCGCTAAAATTAACCTTTGCCTCGAGCGAACCGGATTACGGGCCTGTTAACGAACGACAGAAAGATTCGATCTCGTCAGCCTAATCAGTTCATGGCCATTAGCCTCGTTCAGAAACTGAAGCCACCGCGGCTGTTCGATAATGCACGCCTGTGCGGTTCTTCGCTGACACTAGAAAATTGCATATTCAGCAGTATCTTCTTTTTCTGTACTTTCCATTTCGCAAATATTTTTTTGACGATTTATAATTTACCAATATTTACATATTATCATTAGTCTGTTTCTAATTTGTAACATGTAAATTTATATATAATATAAATAGGAACTGAGTAATCTGTTTTAATAATAAATATGTATATTATATATACAGGGTGATTCACACTTGAAACAAAAATTCTAAGAAAATCTAGTGAAAAATTGTTTAAAAGTTGATATTTTGCCTTCTTTAAAGCTATACAACTTTTGTATTAGAACAATTTTTCATTAGACGCGTAATTTAAAAGTTATTTCAGGTGTGCAAATTACTTGAATTACCCTGTATATAAAATATACATTACAATGTAATTTAATATATATTATACTATATTATATATCATAATATGTTATTATTTTACATATTTATTATGTCAGTCGTATTAATATTATTGTATTAATTTGTACATATATTTAAATCGTGTAATATGAAATGCCGGATTTTTCAATGAGAAGTAAAAATCGGACGACGGTTTAAAAAAATTGTTTTTAATTGCTCGACAAACGGACTACGATAAAAATGTTTTGTAGAAATTATAGCGTGATGCGAATAGTTCGCGGAAGATAATGATGGTAGATTACTAAGAGTAACATAAAAGTGAGGTTAGAGCGGAAAATTATACTTCTAATTATCAGATATTTTCCCATTTCTCAGTGTGATAATTAGCGAATGATACAGAAACATTTAGTATTACACGATCTAAATATACATAAATATACATATATAATTAATAACAATATAATATATTATATACATTTTTTCATAACTAAATTGTATTTATACATTTTTATACACATATACATATATATACATATATATATAAATTATAATATAAAAATATACTCTACACATCACTATGTTTAAATAGAAACGAAAGTAAAACTTCTAGAGCTAGGTACTATTAGTAATGATGGGAAACATCCGAGAAAGGATTTAAAATAAAAATTACAAAAACGAAGTTGCAGAGTTTTGATTTGAAACGTCATCAGGTTAATTTGAGTTAGTTTGATTATTTAGCTAACCTAAAAAGAAAGAAGTTAGAGTGAGAGTTTATGAGAGGAGGGCGTTCATAAATGAAAAGCCTAATCGAAGCGTACAGAAGAGAGAAAAGGGTTGAGAACCGCTGTTTTAGAGAATTGAAAAAGACGGACGATTTTTTAGGTCACGTAATGTATGTATCAGTACGATACCAAGCGACCGCGA